TTGGGGGGCCTTCACGCGTGCGCTTCTCAGAATGTTCTGGACTACTGGCTTGCACCAGACCTCCTGCCTGCAAGGCACACTGCCCAAAGCTCGTTTCCAAGGCGCCATGCAATGGCTTTGCAGCATCTGAGCACAACCCGAAAGGCCATGGCGCCAGTGGCCACCGCAAAATCGTTCAGCGCCGGAAGATCAAGTCCCATCCATATGCAACACTGCATCGCCAAATATCCACAGCCGACTGGCGCTATGGAAAGGAGCTACTTGCAAATCCCTTCAGCAACCTGGAAAGGCCTGAATTAAATCCGCCACCATGTGTGGCCAAAGTAACCCGAGCGTCGATGGCCGTCAAGCAGCTCGTTGTGCGCACAACCATGTTTAAGCTCAGCTGAACACAGCCTCAATCAAGAAGCAGCAAATCCACGGATTTGCTCCTACGCTTGTCCAGTTGGTGCATTTCACACAGGAGGCAAGTTGCTTGGACACACGGAGCTTGTCGCGGTGCTTCTAGTTTGCTGTAGAAAAAGGACGTGCAAATTGTGGGCTAGAATACAAACAGGGTCAAAGTAAATATGGCGTAGACCATTCATCCGAGGCAAACAATGAACTTTGAAGCTGATTTCAAGACTTTGACAGCGAAAAGAAGGACTAAGCGTGGGCTGCGTCTTGCAAATCCTAGAATGCAACCCAACAACCCAAATGACTTGAGCAAAACTTGAGTTCTTTCACCCATCTGACGCTCAGATCTTGCGCGCCCGAGGGCCTGGGTTCTGACCCCCAAGCGCAAGGCGGCCTGCTGGTTGGCCCGAGGACATTCTGACCTCCTGGGACCCTGAGACCGCCCCGAATTCATACCGGGGCCGGGCCTCTACCAAACTGGCCTGCCTCCTGTCAACTGGACATGGCCGCGCCTTGCTTGAAACGTCCCGAGAAAGCTAGCGACAGAGCCACCAGTTGCCATGAGATGGAACTGATCAAATTTCCAAAGCTCCATGTGTGGGACAGAGATAGCATAGGCTTAGCCCTGGGCACGCCAGAGGCTTCCGGAGACTCAAGACTGCTCTGAGTTTTGTTCCTTGGCGCCTGGTTTGTGTCGGGTGGCTGAATATATAAAAGACCATGCTTGGGGCAAGATTGGCTTGGGGCAAGCAACGTCGAGAGTCTTCCGAGAGTTCTGGCCAATGGGCTCCTCACTTGCCTTGGCAGCACCGGCAATCCAGAGCAAAAAAACACTGAATGCACGCGCTGCTCATAAAGGACAAGAAGAGTCACTTCACGGCAAGGGTCGCCCTCCACATTAGTTGTCAGCGCAAGCTTTGACTGTCTGTTGAACAGCATTGGCCGCCATGAATATCCCCGATCCCCAAAGAATTCATCTTGTCCACTTAGACATCTGCAAAACAAATCTACAGAAACAAACAAACTACGAGAAAAGCACATACCTCGGCGCGAATGTTGCCACACTCCCCAGATGGCAGAGAAGCATGACACGCCGTGGCTCTGGGGGTCACACTTCAGCCGTTGGTGACTGGGCTCATCTTCGCCACCGGCAAGGCAGCCTGTGGAGGAACAGGGGTTGGTCTTTGAAACCATCCCCAAAGGAGTACTCTCAAAAACAGAATAGGGGAGGGAATTGTCCGCGTTCAAGGAATTACCCGCGAAGGAACCGACTCACATGAAAGGGGATGTTGGGCCACTCAGCAACAATCTTTAGGTTTATTGACTGGCAAGTGAAGGTAGTGCTCTGCTTTTCCCACTATTCTTGGCCGATCACCCTAAGACAAGGTTCATCTCATTAGCCTATTGACTCGACCAGCTCGGCTGGTAGCACTTTGCAGCACAAACCAGGTCTTCACTCCCAACATCACGGCAACAGCCGTGATTGTTGCTGGAAGGGCTTGAGCTGGAGTGTTTGTCCAAGCAGGAGTGTTTCTTTGCCGGCAGTGGTGCTTGATGGCCAGCTTGTGTCAGATTTGGGGATGGCCTCAACAGTAGCAAGAACCCTATGCTAGGGACGCTGCTTGCCCCCTTTCCCCTCTGTGCCCCTGGCCAACAAAGTCACTTCACCAACAAACCCAGAGGCCGGACTAAGCTGCCAGCTATTTCTAGCCAAACATGTTTGCGTTCTCAGAGCAATAATTTTGCTGAACAAAAATTGTCTGAAAGCTTGGTTTCCCCATTGCTCATTGTGCGGAGCCCTGGCGGTTGCAACTTCTCGCACTGCAAGCGCTTCTCGAGGGGCGGGGCTGGCAGCCTATCGGCCAGACATGTCAACCCCCCAGAAACAGCAACCTGTGCTTCTGGCCTTGTCTTCCTTCGACTGCTCAAAGTGAACTCAGAGCGAAGGCGCCAGGTGCAACACGGGCAAACCAGATTTCTGTCTGTCCTCTCGTCACCTATCTTGCACCCAATGTGAAGAGTGACAGGGTTACAGCTCGTGCCTACAGGGCCTTAGGGGAGTGTGGGATGTGACGGGAAACCACCCATTTTGCAGGTCCCCTTT